ATGTGATCATCAGTGATTATCATTTAATGTGATGTGATCATCAGTGATCATCATGTAATGTGATGTATTGTGATGTCATCATCAGTGTGTGTGTGTGTACCTGTCAGGGATCGGGTGACAGCGCTCTCATAGAGAGGGACGCCCTCGCCTGCGTTGTTGAACGCCTTCAGGGAGATCACATAGTGCGAGCTGGGCTCTGAGAGGGAGAGAGAGCAAAGAGACAGAGAAAATCATTGTTTTAATTAAAGGACCAATAGTACATCGGAAGCAGTCATTTTTAGACCTTAATTTTACTGTTAAAGAGAAAGAAAAAATGTTCTATGTAGATAGTTTTTTATGACTGGATCAATCCCTGTTGTCAGACGCACAGACAGCAGGTCAGTGGCGTCTTTCAATCAGAGGAGCGGGAGTTCGATCGCATGTTGACCTGTCCTTGGGCAAGGCACTAAACCCCAACATGGCGCCCGTAGCTATGACTACGCCGTGTCAGAGTCGGTTACCTGCACGGCGTGCGTTCGCAGGAGGCCACTTGTGATATTTCCACGAAGGCCACATCGAGGGAGCGAGGGGGCGAGGGGGCAAGGGAGGAAGGGAGCATGGGTATAAACCCTTTTTCCTTCGATCACACGGAGTGTTTCAGCCTCGCTCTGCTCTGCGAGATGGTTTTGAAGCGGCCTTTAGCGACGCGTCTCTGTGTGAGCATCCCGTTAAAGCTTCGTGCTCTTTGGTGTGCTGTATAATTCAGCGTCGTGCTATTTAGATGTTAAAGGTGATCCCAGTTTAGTTCTGACTTTACGATGATCATGATGATCCCCCTTCCTCACACGGCCAATATTTACCCGTAGGAACCACACGCAGTTTGGGCTTTTTTAAATTTGACTCTCTGTGGCTCCGATTTTCACTACAGTATAAAAGTCCTCAAACTCCATTAAAACAGCACAAACATGGCCAAAATGCCATGTGGTCATAATGCGACGAATCATAAAAAGGTTTATTTGGTTGAGATTACGAATTAAATATAACGATAAAATGTTTTGATGAAGTAGAAACATTTTGGCAGCACATGTGACAATAATGACGTGTTTTAGAGCTCAGATAAACAGCTGCTTTCATTGCTGCTAATGCTTTTCCAGCCTGCCGGAGGGGGGAGGGGGGGGGGCGTGCGCACAAATACCTGTAGTATCTCTCTGTGTGGCGTAAATAATGCTGGCATCAGTTAAGCACACGCGGCTCCCCAGACGCATCGCCGCATCAATTAATGATCGCCATGAATTATGAATGTCGTGTACATATGTGCGCCCGCTCCCGTGCGATGCAGGCAACACGGCGGCAGGATTTTATTTTTCCATTACTCCCCCAGTGAGGGTCTCGAGACGGGAAATTTCATCTGCTTTGGAAATCCAGCCCATTTGTTATTGTCTTCTTTGGAATGCAGATTGCTTGTCGCGGGATGTTTTCTCTCGGTTGTCCCCCCACAATTAGATTTCCTCCTAAAGCTGCTTTCTTATTACATTTCTCTGAATTATTGATGGTAATTAAATGGGGACGCCATCATCACAATAAATGACTCGAACAGGGGCACCGAGTCAACATTGGCTCTTTGTCTGCAGGAGCAGCTGGATTCATGGGAAATATGAGAGTTCCAGGAATCACATTTTTACTTTTGGTGCTGATGAGACAAATATAAATATAGATTTTAGAGATTCATCTTCAGATCTTCCGGATATCGCCTTCCTGTCGTAGGCTGGTGTCATGTTGAATGATGAGTCGAATATCAAGCAGACCTGCTGACGAGTTGATGGTCTACGCGTTACGCCTTTTCATGCACGTTAGTCGTCCTCACCCAGGCTCTCGATGGAGAAGTATCTCTGCTTGCTGTCCACGCGCACGGTGTCGGCGTAGGGGCTGCCCACGCCGTAGCCGATGATGTAGCCTCGAACCAGGATGTTGGGGCTGAGGGGCGGCGTCCAGGACATGATGATGCTGTTGGGCAGCGGCCTGACGTGCAGGGAGCTGGGCTGGTCCGGCACCTGACTCTCTGCAGAAACACACACAGCGAATGTTGAGCCCTAACAAGCCCCGACGTGTCCTTCTGTTCTTTCAGTATCAGACAGGATCGAATCAGCGGGCTCTCTGTGCTCGGGGCGGGAGGACGACGCTTCATATCGCTTCAATTGAGTGATAATCCATCGAAACGAGGTCTCCGGGTCCCTCGGTCCCGGCGTGGGAACACAGTTAGCATGGATGTGTTCCTGACATCGTCCTCCTGAGACTCTGCCTGAGGTTTAAGTAATATTTCATCCTTTTATCCTGTTAAACACACATTATAAAGTGTTTTACGGTATCATTTCATCTCCTGAGTGGAGTAAATGGTCACTCACTCACTATAACACACATTTAAAATGAAGCAAACAATGACCACTTAACATTGACCTATAGTTCTATTATAATGCATAATATTTAGATACACATATATACAATATATTGACCAGAAATGATGATGCTTGACCTTATAAGTCTTTATAAAAGAAAAATGTAGATTACAATGCATTTCAAGAATGTTTCCAACACTATAGATAGTGAAAAGCATTTATTATCAGTATACCAATATTTAATGAGATGATTTGATACTGATGCTGAGAGGAGGAGTCATCCTGAAATCAACTAGCGACATTAATAAACACTTGACACGACATTTCCACATGCTGTTATTCATGTGTCTTTTTTATTGTCTGTTGAGACGGTGATCCACATTTTCCTCTAGAGGGAGAAATGTAACGCATACACCATTTTAATACAAATTACCTATTTATTTAATTCCTCAGTTACTCTACTTATCAATCATTTAATAAAACGTGTGGCTCGTGAATAGTAAATATGAGTGTAAGTCGCCTGTTTTTATGATCCAGAGATCAAATATTAAGGTGACAGCTGCTACTTGTTTGTGTGACCTTTCATCTCTTCTCCCTGCGGCCTCCTTCCTCCCGTCTGTCCTTTTCAATGTTCATGTGTGCGTCAGGACAGTCGGACAGTTTACGCCCCCTCGTCCCGTCCCGTCCCGTTCTTACCATCCAGGTCGTTCTCCGGCGTCTCGGCGGCGTACCAGTCGCTGGCCGGACCCGTTCCGTTGGCTGTCATGGCTGTTACCTGGAAGCTGTACTGGCTGCCCTTCTCCAGACCTGCACAGAGGGTGTGTTAATCAAACGTCCCTTACAGTGAACACCTCTGAGAAGTATATGTTGTTTGGCCTCAGAGAGGAAATAACAGCACAGCAAAAAAAAGCAAGAGACGCCCCCCGGCCCAAGTTTTAAAAACCCAGTTTCCAGTGTCCAGAAACCCTGTTTTGTCTCTGGGTGGAAGCTCAGAATTGGATCCATGAGCTTTCACTTCTTTCATGACGTGAGCCGGAGACCTGATAGGACTGCCGATCAGATCCTGGATCAGTGTGGGACCAGGTCTTTGTGCCAGCGCAGATCCCAAAGCTTATAAGAAATAAGTGTGTGAATGTAGTGACGCTGACCTGCTCTCTGGAGGAATATTCTACCTGCGTGTGCGTGTGTGTGGACATAGAGTCATCTGTTTGTAGACAAACACGCTTCCTGCTCAACCAACAAAAGACAAAAACAAAAGAAGAGCAGATGTTTTCCATCTGTGTCGCATCAACACGTTTCCTCCCAACCGGTGCTCATGTGAGCCGCCGTGTCCTCGGTGGGATTCAGCGTGGATGAAGTGTCTCCTTGCTGAACCCACAAACACGGCGCTGTCGTGTCTGAATGAAGCCGCTTGAAGGCAAAAACAAACCGACGCGTTTAATTGGCCGGGTTTCTACACCTCGTCTCCTCAGCAGCCGTTTGTCAGGTTATCTATTGAGATTCAGTTTGTTATTCTGAGACAGTAAAAGCAGTGATAATAGCTGACAGCAGGGCCTGCAGGGGCAGATTCAACACACACACACACACACACACACACCTGCCACTGGGGAACGGGGTTCTTTCACGGAAAGGCGGATGAAGATAACCATTTGTGAAAAATAATGAAAGGGAGATCAGTTTCATTCAAATCCTCAAACCTCAAATGGAAATAATAGCTGGTGGCAGTTTGAATGCTGCCACACACACACACACACACACACACACATCAAGACAGATGTACATTCAGTTTTCTTTGAAAGAAAAATAGAGAAAGACAAAAGAGACATATCGTATCAGAGGACTCGTCCACAGGTGAGACACGTTGTCCTCACATTGTCCACACACCAAATGTTGAGATGAGGATGCCCTAAAAGAAGAGTCCTCTGTGCTTTTGTCATAAGATTGACTGTGAATAATGAGCAATGAACCCAAACGCTGCCCGTCAGGAGATGAAGACACGGACAAAAGGCACAAAACCTCTTTTAATTCCAATAACTAAAAGCCTACCGATTCGTTCCGTAATGTAGTAATTAAAAAGGCTGTGCTTTTATTTTTTTGCATAAATGGATCTTTTCATTTTAGTCCACTTCCTCCATGTTTGCATGAATGAATCCCACCTGTGAATAGGAACCAGAAGTTGTTGGGTTCGATGGCCTCCTGGTCTCCACGGCGACCGGTCTTCCTGTATTTGATCTTATAGGCTGAGATGATGCCGTTCTGGGCGCTCGGCGGAGGCGGCTGCCACGACACCTTGATGCTCTGAAAGAGACCGAGGACAGGGAGCGTTGAGCCGACAACGTGGACGGACGAGGAGACAACGGACCCCCTCACGTGGGGCGAGAGACCCCGGCCCTGGAAGACGGGGTGTCAAGTCTCGTGGTCATTTGGAGTGACTTTGCGGTTGTTTGTGTGGCTCTGCAGAGCTTGTGGAGGAAGCTTTCTGCTAGAAATGCTGAGTCAGCAACAGGAGGTTTTGTTTTGTATGCACATTAGAAACATGCAAAGGGACAAATAAGGAGAATGAAATATTAAATATCTTACACTACAAACAAAACCAGTAAGTAAACCACCATCGAGAATACGAAACAGTGCTAGAGGGATTTAACGCGTCTTACAGCGGTTCTCAGAAGGTAACACGGAGGCATCACGTGAACACACGCGTGTGTCTGAGCGTGTTGGTGCTTTCGTCTCAGCAGAGACGCCCCTTACTGCGCTCTCTCTGTGTGTGTGTCCTCTCTCTCATGTGTATAAATAAATATCACCCCCCCACACATATAACACGTATGTAGAGAGAGAGGGGTGTGTATATATATCTCTCTCTTTTCTTTCTTTGCATATTAACAATACACATCCGACACACACACACACACACACACACACACACACACACACACAGCAGATGTTTGCTCAGCCTGCAGTGTGCTCGCTCTGTGAGGCAGCTGCCATCAACTATCCCGCTGACTCACAATGACCCTGTAAACGTGTGTGTGTGTGTGTGTGTGTGTGTGTGTCTCTGTGTATGTTGGGTATAAATTAATAATGATTAATGAATCAGAAAAGTCAGATATGATTTGATCCACCTCCCTCTTTTTAGCCTTGTTATGAATGACTGCAGAGTTTTATTTTTCTACTGATGCTGGAGTGAAGTCACCTGCAGAGAGGTTGTTGTTGTTGTTGTTGTTGTTTGGCTCATTTTGTTCTGGCCGTTACACTGCTTGTTTTATTCTGTTTTGCTGGAGACCAACGGAAGGTAATAAGACCGAATGGTTAATCGCATCCCAGAGCGGCTTCTTTCTCGACTGCACCTCATCCCAACTCAAAGCTCAGTGAGTCCTTGACGTCCCCATCCTGTGTTTGCGTTTGGCCCCAAAGGCGCCACGTCACATAGATCCCCGACAAATCACATAACTGAATCATCTCGCATTCATTCATGCATCAAATCAGCGGTTCAGCCAAAGAGACCCGACCCGTCTACGGGCACCGATATGAGGACTGTGGGTCAATGCCTCCTAAAGCGGACCTGTGATAGGACGCGCTGCCCTGAGCAGCAGGTCCTTCACCATGAACGCCAACACAGACCGCCTCCCTCCATCGTCGTCAAAGAACGTCTTATTTTACCAGCCACTTATCTTCCAAACATGCTGCGAACAAAAGGGCATCAGGAAGGCAAATCAAGAGAAAACGTACTTTGTTCGGAGTCTCAGCAACAGACTTTCGCTAGATACACACATCCACAAACCCCAGCTAACTACGCGCACACATGCTACACATGTTAGCTGCAAGAATATGTTGCGTTACCAAAAGGAAATATGAAAAGTGTAATGCAAATAACACCCCATCTGCTTTAGATGTTGGAGGAAGGAGGTGCAGGACGGGGGAGATCAGCGAGTGTACAGTGTGGTCGATACGCCAGCAGAGACTTTTTAACCAGCAGCAAATGCATGCAGACCAGGACGCACATGCACAGCATCCTGATGAACATTGCATATTACATATTCCACTGCATTGCACTGATCGACAGGCAGCTTTTAATGCACCAAGAAAAGTAACTGTCAACAAAGAATAAAAGACAGAAAACCAACATGGCTGCTTCCAATTCGGTTTTGTCAAAATTGACTTTGCAAATGTTTCACGAGGAGGGAAACGTATTCATTAGGCCTCAATGACGCACTTAACCATTGTGTTTGTTCACGTAGCAGAAACCTCTGCAGGTCACCTTTAAAAGACCAATGCCAGCCAATTAGAAAAAAGAGTATAAGCTGCTGTTGTACAATCGTCTCAAACAGCATTAATTATAGTGGGTCGTCATTAAATACAAAACACGCGCCTCACAGAACCAGGCGGCCCATTACACATGTGCAGATTGTATCGCACACGTATCCACAGACACACACAGTCAGAGTGATGGTGTGTGTGTCCCTCCATCAGCGGAGGTGTAAGTCATCGGGCCAACGAGCAGTTTAAACATTCAGTCAGTGTTACTGTGACAACAGCCACAGAGGAATTCATTAACATTTAGCTGCACCTGTTCCCTCTGCTGCTCCTCATCCTGCTAATTGATTACAGCAGAACTGATTATCGTGCGGGAGGGGGGAGAGGAGGGGAGAGGGGAGAGGGGAGGGGGGGAGGAGGGGGGCGGAGGGAAGGATGGAGAGAGAAAAAGAAAGGGGCATTTTGAATTAATGTACGTGTCGGCCAAATTCCTCTGCAAACTCTGGGCCGTCGTCACAGTGCGCTTCATTAACTAATTATCCACTTTGACAAAACCCGGTTGGATGTGACGTCTCCATGGAAACGACGTAGCAGTTCTATTCATGTTATATTAACTCCCACAGGGGCGCACATAGGCAAACCATCCATGAAGGAGGACAACGCCGTCATCACACACTCTTTACTCCTCTGTACCACCACCTCATCTGGATTCCTCTATGAGACTGTTACTACCAATGATATCACAGGAAATATGCACTAAATACACAGTAAATACACAGTAAATACATACCTCCCTTCTACTGTCTGCTGCTGCTATTACTGCTTCTACTATATATATATATATATATATATATATATATATATATATATATATATAGATCTCCATCCAACTGGCTGAAATGAGTTTTGGAGTTCACCTCTTTCACTGAGCTAAATGGGCTCTGCACATTCATTACGGGGCTTTCAGATGAACTACCTTTTCTTGTGTAAATTAGAGGTGAAGTGGCTTGGGGCCGCACTGTAACATTGGCTCGTTTCTCTGTTCTGAGTGCAGCAGAAAGAGAATTGCCTCCTGCGGCTGCTTTGTATTCACATGTAGTTGCCATTGTAATGCAACAGGGTAAGTGAAGCCTTGTTCGCTGCCTTCAAACAGGCCGAGGGCGTCCGTCTGTTTAACTTGTCCCTCAGAGAACAAGGGGGAAACGTATCCAGGAGGTGGAGATGTCTGAGATAATAATGAGGAGTGATTAGAACCAAATCAACCTCCCTGTTGATTGGGTTACGAGTAGTAAGAGCAGCATGTACAGTGGACATCGTGTTGCTCCAGCACGCCAAACCTCCTTTATCCTAAATGAGTTCAGTGGGTCCTGATGACTTTTGTTGTGTTGTGTGATACGGAACAGATCCAGCTGATTTGAACGTCGGTGCAGGCTGTGTTTTGTATTTCCAGCTGACTCTGTGCTGCTGAGCAGTTTGTCCAATCGATGGATGAAAAACCCTTTAAGAAAAAAAATCAACTTTGAACTGAATGTGGGATTCATTCCGCGGTTCTCTGGTGTTTCTTTATGCTGAGCTGTGAGAGAGCTGAATACAGAGCACCTCATCCACCCTGTGACCTCCACACACACACACACACACACACACACACACAGGGCCAGGTGAGTAAACACTCCCTCAATTCAATCTGTGATTGTTTGTCCGTGTCCTCTGGGTGAGAGCTCCAATCACATCGACTGTGTGCGTGCATGTGTGTGTGAGTGTTAATGTCCTCTGGGTAAAAGGAGCAATCACATGAAGGGCAGATTGTCTCTATTTGCGCTTTAATATAACATGCAACACCACGCTGCACGCTGCATTGAGTGTGTGAGTGCATGTCATGCATACATTCCTTTACTGTTTTTGTGTTAATACATTACCAAACAGGTTAAATACCTGACATACTTAGACGTCTGAAGCCAAAATTCCCGAACTCACCTTTGAGCTCTGAAACTCCTTCATGCCTTTGACTGCCTTCTCTCTACCGACCACCAGGGGGCGACTGATTGTTCGTAATGGGCCATTGGGTACCGCGACTCACAGAAAGAATGCATAACTTTTATTTCTTTCATTTGACTCTTTTTTTATGAAAAATATCGTATTTAGAAAAATGACACTCTCTCCATTACATGCGCTTGTCCCTCTGGACACATAGCAAGACACTCGTCTCAGTCACGTGATGATTACTGCAAAACTTAAGCCCACAAGCTGGCAAACGAAGAAAAGTCAAACTTAAAATAGGGTTTACTGCGTCACGTAGTTCTCATGCGCCAAGCTCACTCTGCAGTATATGTAAAGATGTCTCCATGCCGATCCTATCTTTTTATTTCATCGTGTTTATGGTTCTTGAAACATTCCGTGGTCCATGAGGCCAAAAAGGTTGTTTGAGATGAAGCTCTCTTTTGAGACAGAAATATATTTCTTTACAATTCTTTTGATGATTCAATTCCCTGGAGACAAATCTATGAATCAACTAATCGCTCCAGCTTACACAACAGTACACGTTTTATTTCTCTTTCATCCCTGCATCCGTACTGATGTGTGGCAAGTGTTTCCATGGGGACAAAATGATCTTGCATATATATATAAATCATTCAAGGGGGTAATTTCCACAGGGGTTAGAAAACACGCCCCTCACATTATTTCTGAATCCTGCTACGTTTTCTTTCCCTTAAGCCCAGTTCATGCTTCTGCGTTTTCAGAGAGACGCAAGGACACGCAGACGCAAGACCTCCTTGTGTGCGTCGACCCATTTTTGTAGACTAGTGTCTAAAGCTTTGCAGCCTCCTGCAGCACCAGGCTGTGATTGGTCTCTGACTACGTCCTTTAGAGTCTCACGTCTCCGTTTTCACAGCACAATACGGCCGTTATTAAAAGGAAGAATGTTTACCAGAGAACGGATCAGATTGAAGAGCTTTTAAATATGAGCGCTTGTACAAGCCGTCATTGGCGGACTATGAGGACGCCGGATGGCCTCTGATTCATGGAGGGAGATCTCCACAAACGAGGGA